AAAAAAAAAAAAAAAAAAAGGAACACAAAGAGATTCAAGAAATGAAAAACAATATTCACTTGTTTCTTGGTAAGAGGAGAGAAACAAAGAGGGGCCACTGTTATGCTAAGTAATGGCCTTGGAGGTTTCAAAACATTATTTAATTTTCAAACCCAGCAATCCAGCAAGATAAGGATAGTTAACACCATTTTAATGAATGAGGCCCTGTCCCACTAGGCAGTGCTGTTACTTTGCCCCAAAGCAAAAAGCTGGACAGGCAGCCAAATCTGTGTTCTTTCCAATCTACCACACAGTAGCACAACTGAGGCAATCTTGGACATCACCAATCACCAATTAGATAAATACAGAAACAGTAGGAAATACACATGCTTGGAACATGCCTGCAGAGAGACCCACAGAAGAGGAAAGTGGCTTATCTAATGAGATAATATTAAACCACATTACATTTGTCAAGTTTTTTTTTTTTGAGACAGAGTCTCACTTGTCAACCAGGCTGGAATGTACTGGCTCAACCATAGCTCACTGTAACCTCAAACACCTGGCCTTAAACAAGCCTCCTGCCTCAGCCTCCTCTATAGGCATGTGACATCACGCCTGGCTAATTAAAAATATATATATTTTTGGAGAGATGGGATCTCTCTATGTTGCCTAGGCTGGTCTTGAATGCCTGGCCTCAAGCAATTCTCCCATCTCAGTCTCCCAAAGTGCTGGGATTACAGGAGTGAGCCACTGCACATGGCCTTCAAGCATTTTTTTACAAAGACAGAAATATCAGTTCTTTTTTTACAAGGCTGGAGTGCAGTGGCATGATCTCGGCTCAATGCAATCTCCGCCTCCCAGGTTCAAGTGATTCTCCTGCTTCAGCCTCCCGAACAGCTGGGATTATAGGTGCCCACTAGCATGCCTGGCTAATTTTTTTGTATTTTTAGTAGAGACGGGGTCTTGCCATGTTGGCCAGGTTTCGAGCTCTTGACTGAAAGTGGTCCGCCTGCCTCAGCCTCCCAAAGTACTAGGATTACAGGCGTGAGCCACCACACCCAGATGGAAATGTCAATTCTATTATTGGCAAAAAATGGAATCCCTTCTGAAAAAATTATTTAGAGGGTTAAATAAAACTCAACTTAGGAACTAAGTTATTCTACCCCAAATTTACTTGGCTCAATTGAAATTATTAACCCATGAAAGATCTATAAAAAATTTATGACTGATGAAATTAAAACCTAGGAAAAAGAAGTATAGCATTTATCTACACACTAGTTTAAGGAAGCAGAAGATAAACATGTTAAAAACAGGAAGAAAAAGACTTAGCAAATGCCATGCCAAAAGACCATTCAATTCTAGCTACAAACTTACCCCTGGCTATGTTCTTCACATACGCATGATCACAAACATGAAAACCTAGATTACAGGATCCTTTAGACTCTAAGGCTCAGAACATTCAACATGATTCAATTTATAAAAATAAAAAATGATTCCAGAATAGATTTACTGCATGTAGCATAGGTCCGCTTACTCACTCAAAGTAATAGTGAAATGTTTCAAGTCCTAGTATATGAAGTGCATTAAATAAACCTTTCAAGCATCTCTAGTATTCTGATGATGGAACTGGCAGGATGGCTAATACTTCAGAATTAAATCAGTATAGCAAAACATAAAAACTAAAATCTATCCTTTTTTCTTTTTTTTTTTTTTTAAGACAGGGTTTCACCATGTTGGCCAGGCTGGTCTTGAACTCCTGACCTCAGGTGATCTGCCTGCCTCAGCCTCCCA